AATCGCAATTTCCACAAAAATATTAAGCAGCTTTTTTCACCGTTGCTGGTAATGATACATTTTTCTAGAGCAACGACACAGCATATTAGAATGATTTCTGAAGGATCATGTGACGCTGAAGACTGGAGTAATGGCTGCTAAAAATTCAGCTTTGCCCTGAAGAAATTACATTTTAAGATATGAAATAGAAATTAGTTATTTTAAATTGTAATGATATTTCGCAATGTATTTACTGTATTTTGATCAAATAAATGCAGCCTTGTTGAGCACGAAACACTTCTTAAATATAAAATCCTAAATATATTCTTATAAAAAAATATTTTCAGCTGTGGCCACTATGAACTGCCGTTGTGTAGAAAAAATGCAAATGTTCTTTTAAATTATTTGTGTTCTTCAGAAAAAAGCAACAGCATATGGGTTTGGAATGACATGAGGGTGATTAAAAATGATTTTAATTTGAGTGAACTATCCTTTTAAAAACAATAGCTAATAGTTACACACTGAAAATCACATGCCCAAGTACTGAGTCAAGGGACTTAACTTTAAGTGAAGATGAGAATGCTTCTGTGGAGTCACTGCCCCTTCATTTATCATTTAAGCCGCTCTCACTGGAACCTAGTGAGTTGTCTTTGACACTGCTACTGTATATGAATCACACAATCAAAAGAGGCATTGCAGGTCTGCTAGCTTATTGTGAAGTCCAGAGCCAAGCTGCCTTTCTCTAATGATAGTCTCTTAATGGCACCCCTGCTGATCTGAGGTCAGCATGGTCCATGCTATGACGCTCCTAATGTTTTAAGCAGACTGTGTCTGTGCACTCAGAACCATTAACACACACCCTGCCAGGATAACCATGTTCACCTGGAAAAAAAAACTTTTAAGATTTGATTTTTTTTTTCTCTCTCTCTCTCTCTCTCTCTCTCATATGTGACCCTGAATGTTCATTTTTGGATTTAACAATGGACAGATGATCTTGCTGCTCTTTACAGATCAGTGTCATCCCAATGCTGTTTATATGCATGCAGAGTGTAATAAGTCCAGAGGTTTTGTTTTAAAGGTAAAACGAGAGAGTCCGTGTCCAGGATTGTTCTTGAGAGAAGAGGGTCGAGCTGCCAAGACAGCAGAAGCAGGTGCCAAACACAAAGTTTTAACCCCCTGTAACCTTTTGACAAGCTGTCAGTGGGCGAGTAATTAAATCAATAGTGGAAGAAAGGATGTCAAGCCACTTTAATACAAGTGTGGCCTGTAAATTCAGATGGACTCTTTGCAGGAAAAGCATAGTTATTTTTCTTTGAGTTATGTCTGTGTTTGCAAAGGCAGACAGTCTACACACATTTTCCTTGTTTTTTAAACAGTTTTCTATGCAAGCCTTGTATTTAAAAATTAATGAGCTAATTATAAGTTTAAAATAATGAATCAAGTCACAATTGTGAGATATTATGTCATATTGTGAAAAATAAAGTCACAGTTATGGAAGTAATTACTAAAAATCTAGCGTAGCGTTAGTTCTGGCAGGTCACGTTAGTCAAGCTCGCATCAGCTGACTCTCAGCTGATCCCCATCAACCTATGGGAATACGACACCTATCTAAGCATTCATATATAAAGACCCTC